AGTCTGATGAAAGAGGGCAGAAAATCACCTCAACAAAGTAGCAGATGGTATAATTTCAACAAAACCAAGAATAATCAGAACATGTTATACACAGTTGTGTGCTAAGAAAACTGAGAATGTAAAAGAAACAAATATATTCAGAATTGTGAAATATCCAGAATAACAAAAACTAAATAGAAGTCTTAAATCTCCTGGTCCTGATGGATTCACAGGAAAATTCTATCACATTTTTAAAAAACAGGTAATACTAATACTACACGAATTATTCTCAAAAATTGATAAAGAAAGCACCCTGCCAGGTTTCTTTTGTGAAACAAATATAGTCCTTACTCAACCAGGGAAGGATAAAGCACCTAATGAGAACTACAGACCAGTGTACTTGAGATACAATGATACTGACCTTTTCATTTGAATTAGACTTTCATCTCTAGACTGAGCATTTTTATTGACTATCCCTCCTGCCTGGAATTTACTCCCTTGTCATCTATGCCTTTTAATTTCTCTGGCTGCTTTAAAGTCTCAGCTAAAATGCCACTTTTTTTTCAGGAAGCCTTTCCCAATACCCCTTAATACTATGCCATCCTCCTGTTGATTATCTCCATTTACTTTGTATATATCTTGTTTATACATAGTTATTCCCATTTTATTTATGAGACTATAAGTTCTTTTATTGCAGAAACTCTCTTTGACATTTCTGTGTAACTCCAGTGCTTTCCACAGTGCCTGGGCCATACTAGGTGCTTCATTTATTTATTTGTTTGTTTGTTCGTTCATTTATTTATTCATTCATTCATTCATTCATTCATTTATTTATTTTTAGGCGGTTGGGGTTAAGTGACTTGCCCAGGGTCACACAGCTAGTAAGTGACAAATGTTTGGTCTGAGGCCGGATTTGAACTCAGGTCCTCCTGACTTCAGGGCCAGTGCTCTATCCACTGCGCCACCTAGCTGCCCTGTACTAGGTGCTTCATAAATGCTTTTTGAGTGAATGACCAATATCATTAATGAATATTGCTTCAAAATTTCTAAATAAAATTATATTGGATTACAGCTAATTATCCAAGAAATCATTCATAATGACCAAGTTGAATTTATACTAGGAATGCAAGGGTGTTAGGAAGACAATCTACACAATCATATCACAAATAAAAACATCCAAAACCACATGATTATTTCAACAGATAAGGAACAGAGCCTTTACAACTCATTTATGCTGAGAATCCTATGAAGTATAGGCATGGAAGAACATATGAAAAATATTTTAAAAGTATCTAAAACCAAAAGCAAGCATCATATGCAGTGGAGATCCACTACAATCTTTCCCAGTAAAGACAGAAATAAAGCACACTCCCCTCTATTGTTTAATATAGTTCTGAAAATGCCAGCAATAGCAGTAAGACGAGAAGCACATTAAAGGCATAAAGACAGGTAAAGAGGAGATAAAACTGTCCATGTTTGCTGATAACATGTTGGTTTACTTAGAAAATCCTAGGGAATTAGCAAAGATGCTAATTGAGACAATGGAGAAAAATTGCACGCTAGAAGCCCTCAAAAATCAACAGCATTAATATATAATAATAAAACCCAAGAGACAATAATAGGGAAATGTCACTCCAAGTAACTACAAACTGCATAAAATATCTGGAGATCCATCTCCCAAAGCCTACACAACATTTAGAATGACTTAACTAGCTGGAGGCCTATTCAGTGCTCATGATTTTGCTGTGGCGGTATAACAAAAATGATAAGACCACCAAAGTTTACATTTACATTTTTAATACTATATCAAATTGTCAAAAGGATGCTTTATACTTAATAAAAAATTAATTTGGAAAAATAAAAGATCTAAACTAACAAAGGAAATAATGAAAAGAAGTTGAGGAAGGGGAATAGTACTTCCAGACCTCAAACTGTATTTTAAAGCAGCAATTACCAAACCAGTTGGTATTAGTTAAAAAATAGAGCTAGACCAGTGAAACAGATTAGACAGAAGATAATTAGAAACAATGGAACTTGATAACCTAGTGTTTGATCAACTGGAAAATGTAAATTAGTTAGGAAAGAACTCTATTTGATAAAAGCTGCTGGGAAAACTTGAAAGCAATCTGGCAGAAATTAGGTTTATACCAAAACCTTTTTACCATATTTCATAATGCATTCTAAATGGATATATGACCTTAATATTAAAGATCACACTATTTTAAAAACTAGAAGAAGAACAGATCATATACCTTTCACAGACAAAAATAATGCAGTTAGGATAAGAAAGGTAGTTGGTTGAATGGAAAAGTTTTTTTTTATCAAATTTCTCTGATAATGGATTTGTTATCCAAGGTATAAGTGTGTGTGTGTGTGTGTGTGTGTGTGTGTGTGTGTGTGTGTGTGTG